ACGACGACCCGACGACGGAGCGACGACGACGAGGCAACGACGACGTCGCGGCGACGACGAGGACACGGCCGAAACGTTGCCACCGAGATGTTGCCACCGAGCCGCACCAAATGTTGCCACCGCAAAGTTGCCACCGAGCCGCGCTAAATGTTGCCACGCAGTTGTTGCCAGCCACGACGCGACGACGACGCGACGACGCGGAAGCGGCGACCCTCACAGTCGCTGCAGGCCCCAGGTGCCCTCACAGTCGCTGCAGCCCTCACCCTCAGTCGAGCCCCCCAGGCGCCCTCACAGTCGCTGCCTTGCGGGTGCCCTGCAGCGCAAGCAGTCGCTGCAGTTCCCAGGCACAGTCGCCGCAGCGCCCCAGCGCTGCAGCCTCTGCAGCCCAAGCAGTCGCTGCAGCCCCCAGATGGGTTCCGCCCCCACAGTTGGCGCCCTGCAGCAAGCAGTCGCTGCATCTCCCAGGTGCCCCTCACAGTCGCCGCACCGCCCCAGGCCGTCACAGTCGCTGCAGCCTCACGGGCGAAGATAGCGGTGAGGATATATAGAGGCGGGGAGGGACGGCGACGACGCAGCGACGACCGGGCGGTGAGGATGGTGAGGATAGCGGTGAGGATAGAGGCGGAGAGGGATGACGACGATGCAGCGAGGACCGGCGCTGGTGGTGTGAGCCGGGCGGTGAGGATAGCGGTGAGGATAGAGGGACGACGACGCAGCGACGACGACTGGGATAGTTTTTTGTGGCTGCCGTTTGTGGCTACCGTTTGTGGCTACCGTTTGTGGCTACTGTTTGTGGCTACCGATGTGGCTACCGATGTGGCTGCAGCCCCCAGGTGCCCTCACAGTCGCTCACAGTCGCTGCAGCCTCACGGGCCTCACTCCTGACCCAAGAGGATGGGTGAGGATAGAGGTGAGGATAGCATTGAGGACACCGGTGAGGATAGAAGACGAGCGCACGACGACCGGCGCTGGTGGTGTGCCTAAATGTTCTGCCTAAATGTTTTGCCAAATGTTCTGCCTAAGTGTTCTGCCAAGCGTTCTGCCGAGTGTTGTGCCGACGCCGCGACGACTGAAGGCACAGTCCCTGCAGCCCCAACCTCGCTGCCCAAGCCCTCACCACTCCTCACGCCTGACCCAAGAGGAGGGATAGCGGTATAGAGGACGACGAGGCGACGACGCGACGACCACGAGGCGGCGACCACGGGTGCCCCCAGTCGCCGCAGCCCCAGATGCCCTCACAGTAGCTGCAGCCCCCAGGCCCTCACAGTCGCTGCAGCCCCCCAGCCAGGTGCCCCTCGCAGTCACTGCAGCCGCCCAGGTCCTCACAGTCGCTGCAGCCCTCAAGAGTCGCTGCAGGTGCCGGGTCAAAGCCACCATGTGCCCCTCACAGTCGCTGCAGCCCCCAGGCCTCACAGTCGCTGCAGCCCCCAGGTGCCCCTCACAGCAGGGCCCGTTGTTGTACCGGTCCTGTTCGGCCAAAATGTTCTGCCCAAATGTTCTGCCTAAATGTTCTGCCGGGCCTAAATGTTCTGCCAAATGTTCTGCCTAAGTGTTCTGCCAAGTGTTCTGCCAAGTGTTCTGCCGATTGTTGTGCCGACGGCGCCCTGCAGCCCCAGCCTCGCTGCAGCGCCCCGGTGCTCCTCCTCACTCCTGAGGAGGGGTGAGGACGCGACGGTGGGTTCATCGACCGAGGGTTCACCGGGGAAGGAGGCGACGACGACGCGGCGACGACGACGCGGCGACGACGGCGCGGCGACGACGACCCGACGACACGGCGACGACGCGGGGTGCAGGACTTATTTCCTTCTGATTCCTGTCGCCCTAAGTTATAAGGGCATTCACAATATATAGGCCATTATGTGCCTTCACAATAAGAAATATAATATAAAAGAAAATTCGCGTGACATCCGAAGCCTTCGTTTTGCAATGGGATTTGCGACAAAGTCTGAGTCGTAAGAAGAAGCACCGATGGTCACTGAGCTCACTGCTCGAACACATCGGGCCCTCCACACCCCGACGTGAAAAAGGGATGGGCGGGCGGGACAAAAACTGAGCCTTTGCCCAGCTACGGGGTTTCCCACCTCCCTCCCTGGAGCCGTAATGTTGCACGGGCAAAGGAAGATTCCACATCGTTCCAAAGACTGGAAAACGATTAAGGGAAAACTTCGGGCTCTTGAAAGTCAAACTTTCAAAATTCGGAATCAGGAAAATAAAACTATATCACCTTCGGTGAGATTCGTCTTATTTCCTTCTGATTCCTGTCGCCCTAAGTTATAAGGGCATTCACAATATATAGGCCATTATGTGCCTTCACAATAAGAAATATAATATAAAAGAAAATTCGCGTGACATCCGAAGCCTTCGTTTTGCAATGGGATTTGCGACAAAGTCTGAGTCGTAAGAAGAAGCACCGATGGTCACTGAGCTCACTGCTCGAACACATCGGGCCCTCCACACCCCACGCACAGGCCCTAAGGTGTCAAGGCAGTGAGCCGCACACGAAGAGACGAATCAAGATTGCTGTAATCCTTCCGGGATGGACCATCAGCAGGATTGCTTTGGGATGGCACCCACTCACACCAAATGTTGATATCGTTCTCTTCCTCGAAGCAGACAAGCTTCTGAAGTATGCAAGCTGCAATGCCTTCTGCGCGGCCACTTATCAAGCATGACAAAGCGGACTCGCTGTCCACAAACAGCACTAGGTCAATGTTCGACTTGCCTTTGAGCAAGTCCACGACACCTTGCACTGCTGCGAAGATCTCCAACTCATAAATCAAACCCTCCTTAGCATCAGAGCCGAAGGGGACAAGGTCACAAGGATCAATCCACTCAGCAAACCACTTGAGAGGCTTGGCAGCTGAATCGTAAAGGATCCCACCAAGTCCTGAACCTTCGCTTCCAAAGGAGGCGTCAGTGAAGAGGGTCAGCTTTTCCCTTTTGCAAGCACTGACACGCCTTGGCTCACCATTCACGATGTGATCACGGAAGAACAGAAGCGCGTGCAGCAGCTCACCAGTTATTTTGACATTCTTCTTACAAGAGCAGGCTTTGGACAGGACAGAGAAGACCTGCCGGGCACGCCTGCCAAAGACCTGATTGTCAGCAAACAAGAGTCTGCCTCGAAGCACTGTCAGCTCATGACTCGATGCAGAGCCCCTTGATACCAACAAGTCAAGAAGATTGCTCAAGTCACGTATCCTGTGTTCCGTATTCGAAACTACGACTAGACCAGCCCTAACGTCGGCAAACGAGATGGAAACCCCTAGCACTCGAGCCAGGCAGTTAAATCCCGAGTCCTTTTCGGACGACGTAGACCAGCCAAGCAAGTCAAAGAAACCCCGTTGAATCAAATGCACATGCTCTGCCTCCGACTGCGCTGCCACCAAGAAAAAGTCGTCAAAGTAGCAGCTCCAGTGGAGCTGCAACAGGACAACCCCTATCCAAAACAAAGCAAGCGAGCATCTACAAAATCCGTTAACTGCAGCACGGGCCCCGAAGGGCAGCACACGTGTGCGGTATATGGAAGGCTGATTGCACTTAGGGCTATGCACACACAAGAAGCAATCGTTCAGCGACTCGAGCGAAACCGGAAGTTGCTTATAGGCTTTTCTAAGGTCCACTGTGCATGCCACCAGCTCCTCAGGCTCAGCCTGCTCAGGCCTCGAGGTGATGCGCCGGCAAATCCCAGCAACAATGGTGTCCACACCATGAGGCGAAATGGTCTCCACGCTGGCATTAGTGAGATTCACTTGGCTTTTTTGACTGCGCAGCGTCCAGTAGGTCGCCTGGCGTAAGCCTACACACACTCCTTTGTGCGGCAACTCTGTGGTTGCACGGCTGGTGCCTCGCTCCGAAGAGCTAAGCAAGCACCTAACAAAAGTGCCCCGCGCCGAAGCGCCAAGCAAGCACATAAGCTTCACGACTCTATGTCCGAAACCATGCGCGAGAAAACAACTGTACGAGACTACAACGAGTGTAAAAACTCCCACAGGAAGACTGAGCTAGTTGTTACAGTCAACCTACCCCTACCCTAACAGCTCCGACACTCAGCATGCGCACCGCGTCCGGCGCGACATGCGGCAGAGAGCACGAGTGCCCGTAGGAGTGGCAATGCCACTACCCCGACAGCATGCACAACCTCCTGCGTCCAGCGAGGATTGTACACCCGCACTGGCCAGTGAGCCGTAAACTGTGTCAGACAGCCGCTCTCAGCCAAATCAAGTAAGCATTTCTGAAAAGATGTTGCATGTCTCCATGTTTGGCCTTTTTGGCCCGAGAGCCGTCATCCGTGATGTACCAACATGACTCCGATGCACTGTAAAGCATAGCCCTGTAATGCCCAGAAATGACAGTCCGACCATAGTGAGAAATAGCACCGATGACAGTGTATGAACAACTACGTGTTTCCAGACTGTTCTCACACAGAAAGCAGGGAATCATGATGGACAAGCATTGTAAGCTCACCGGCATCGTGAGCTTAAAGGCCTCACCATCAGCATGACCGAACCTTGCGAGGCATATGCACAATACCTCAGGAGGCTCGCACAATGCATGTATAGCATCCTGAGCACACCACTGGTCCACCACTGTTTGTAAAGTACACTCCTGTAAATGCGAAGGTAGCGTCATCCAAATGGGCGAATAAGTGTGCGCACTGTCGCTGAGGTCCAGACTGAGTAGTCTCGCATGCCATGATCCACACAAAAACCGCGGCATCACCTGAGTAAATATGTGTGCGCACCATTCTTGTACATCATGCTGAAGTCGTGGGTTTGGCCATCCCTGATAGAAGCGCTGCCAAGGCATCAGCTCAAGAAGATTGAGCTGCCCTCTTGCTGAAAGCATGGCCCGAAGGGCCGAAGTCGCGGCACCTGCATAATGTTCAAGAGGACTGCCGAAAGTTGATGCCCAAGCCCACAACAAAGCCAGCGAGTTCACGTAACACATGTTGTGGCTATTCTGTAACTTAACTCCGAGAACTCGTCGCGGCGCCTGGATCACGGGCTCACTTGAAGCTGCGACATCGCCTCCATCAACTGGCTCATCAGGGGTTGCCTTTTGAGGCGTTCGCCTCTGAGGCGAGCGCCTACGACTCGAAGCACTGTGTTGCCCTCCAGCTTGCGAAAGAGCTCGAACGTCCGATCTGCCAAGGCCCCTCGCGTGCTGATTGACAGCAGGAAGGGCAATGTGTCGCCTTCCATCTGCTCTGCTAGCGGACGCACACTGTGGAACTTGTGCACCAGCTCCCCGGCTTTGTCGAGGAGTGCCTGCTTGATCTCCCGAATGATCTCTGTCATCTCGCTGTGTGGGATTGCCGCTTTGCTGGAGTCGAGCTCCAACTTGTTTCCCGTCCAGATCATGTACGGCCACGCCGGCTGTCCCAGTATTGTGGTGAGCCAGCCATGCTTGATCATGTTGTCCTTCGTCTGCTCGTGCACCATCATCTTTGTCAAGCGACCTTCCAGCTCCATCATCATGCATAGAATCAAGGTGACTCGCAACGATTTGTCCACTGTCGGGGGCTGGGCTTCCCTGGCCTTCTTCCAGACCTGTGCCGCTTCCCAAAACAGGTGAACCATGCCCTGAGGTCCCGTCTCGAAGTGAAGCAGGAATTGCTTGTCCATCTTGAGCATCTGGAGTTCGTTGTCCTGTTGAACGAGGAGCCTTGCCACCATGTGCATCATTTGTTGAAGATCTTCTAAAGAAACCGTGGATGGTGCCTGTGCCGGCGTCGAGCTGTTCCATCGGTTTCCCCAGCCGTTGCCGGAGCGATTGCCCCGGCCCTTTCCCCAACCTTTGCCCTTGGTGGGCCTGGTCACCTCCAGATGCGGCCTCTTGTTGGAGCCGGTCTGCTCGGTTTGCTCGGCGGCTCGCTTTGGCATCATGTCCCGCAGTGCCGGCATCGTCGCCCCGAAGATGTCCATGAACTGGTCCTCGTTGGTAGTCATGCTCGCCATGATCTGCGACCGGAGAGGCTGCAGGCAGTGAGTGCTTCAGGGCCGTCTGAAAGAGAACATGACAAACATGTGCATGCTGCGCAGCTCGCTTAAAATTGCCCCCACAGAACTGACAAGGTTTTTGAAGGCTGGCGGCCCACTGCGAACACAACTCAATCACACTTGCCTTCGACTGCGACCACTCATCTGTATGTCTTTGTTCCATGTGTCTGCACAAACCCCTCGCGGTGCAATGTTCACGACACAACTGGCAATGGGTCGTCCAGTGTTTACTGGTGCTCACGTCAGGCAAGGGCACCGTGGTTGTGGTCTCGGGCTCATCGCTCACAGCGGCGACAACTCCGCCTGAAGCTGCAAGCCCCATCGACCGAATCATGGAAAGTTGGAACAACACTGGGCACGAATCAGAGTGAATCGCACCTTTGGGCACCGCTCGGTTGCACCATTCGCATGTACCTGTGATGCGTGCGAAAGTAGCTCGCCTCCATTGCAACGTGTGGGCCTCGTGTGTCTGCATTTCCTGCTTGTGAACTCGCTTCCAATGTTGCTTGATGTACTTGGGGTCAGGCTGCCATTGCCGGCACAGTGCACAATGCTGAAGTAACTCCTGTCGGAGCTCCTCGGAGATCATGTCCAGTCGGATGTCATCGAGCTGGAGAGTGCCCTCCCGGGCCTGGTCCCAGAGCGAGGTCTTGGCCGAGGCCAACTCAACCGTGGTGTCCACCTCGGTATCGGGGGAGCTCTTTTGACAAAAGTTCCCGGAAACATGCTTCTGCAAATCAGCCCACCGCAGAAATTTGTGGCCACACATGGAACATGTCGGCATGCCGTCCACTCCGTGGCGTTGCCTGTCAAAGGCTTGCGCCTCCGTCTTCCGTCTCTCTGCACTATGCATCTTCGCCTTGTGGGCCCGTAAAGAGCCGTAGTCACCGAACTCCGCGTGGCAAACATCACATGTGTGAACACAAGTGGCATCGTCTTTCTGAATGCAACGGTCCTGAAACTGCTGCAGCATGGCCTGCTCCCACTCTCGAACAACCGGACTGATGCGTACATCCTGTGGCGTCAGGAGGCGTGCCAATGCCTTGGTTCGGTCCACCGCTGCCTGTAATCGTTTCTGCACCATCTGCTCAGGAGTATCCATGCCCACCTTGTGCCAGAAGACTGCGTCAGCTTCAGTGATGACCTCCTCTCCGGATTCACCCCCCAGCCTGTGTCTGGGGCTGCGCGCGATGGCCCGCGCTTGCTTGGTCAACATGACTCGTAGTACATCGAAGCCCTTGGGAAGAACACCGGAAGCAGTGATTGAGTACATGACTGTCGGGATGACAATGGCCTTCCATAGCCGAAGTCGTTTCTGCATGTTGGCTGCCTTGTCGGCCATAAGAAACTTGCGAACTCTTTGAAATGCAACCTTACCTGCATGGACTCGATGCTGCATGTTCTTGTGCTCAAAGTCACCATAGGTGATGCACGCACCTAAATAAATGTGATCTGCTTTGAGCGGCAGTACGTATTCCGGACTTAATTTGAGCACTCGGCCGTCCTTGGTCTTCTCGATAAGTTTCCGCTTGATGTGTGGAGCTTGAACCCCTTCGACACGCAGAAGACAGACTGTTTTGTCCCTGCTCAGTTTGAGACCCGCCTGCTCCAAGATCTGCAATACACGATGCGCTTGTGCCATAGCCTGATGAAGTTGTGCGGCATCATGGATATCCCATCTGAGGTGAGTGTCATCCGCAAACCCCACCAAATGATCGTTGCACCAATGGGATCCCATCGCCTGCTCAAGTAGATGCAACAAGTACACCGAGACACATATCCACAATGAGGGCGATAACCGACAGCCTTGTCTTATCCCCCGGCTGGAGGAGAACTTGGCTTCCGCATCGTCCTGTATGACATGAAAAGTAGTGGTCTCAACCCACTGCATAATCAAGCATCGTAGACTGTCCGGAACCTTTAGAAACTTCAGGGCTGAGTTGAGCAAAGCACGGCTGGCCCGGTCGAAGGCCTGGGTGAAATCAATGCTCACTTGCAATCCACCTGCACATCCCCCTCGCCGATGCCCTTGACGGATTGCATACACATCTCGGCCCTGCGCTTTCGCCCGAGCCCGGGCATCGGCACAATGCCGGTACACGATGCTCAGTGCCTGCTGCGGCGAGCGGTTGGGCAAGTACCCGAAAAGATGTCTGTCCTCGATCCACGGCTGCAGGAAGGGCATCAAGTGCTGTTTGATGATGCCGCTCATAGCCTTCCCTGCCGGCTCCAACAAGGAGATCGGCCTGAGATCCCCGGGTTTGTTTCCCGGTTTATTGGCTTTGTTTAAGAAGGTGAGCCAGGATGCCGACCAATCCTCAAAGACCTCGGCCACCTCATTGCGCCACCGGCTGAGAACCTGCACATCCATGAACTCGGCAACAGGTTCTGCGGCAAGTTGCCACATCGCGTGTGGCGCACAATGAGCCGGTGCTGCTTTGTTGCCCTTGAGCGACCGCAGAGCATGAAGAAGTTCCTCCCGTGACACATGGTACGCATGCCGTGGCTGATGACTGGGCGGAGCCTGCCCATCACTGCCCGCGCAGATCTCCTTCCAAAACGTCGCAAGTTCCCGGACCTCCTCAGCCGGGCAGAGGAGTCTGCCGGTGGATGATCGCAGCTGGGTTCTCTTCTTAGCCTGTTTAGGTGCCCACTTCTTGATCAAAGTAAAAGTGGTCGAGGCTCCGTCCACCTGATCACACCGCTCTGCCGCTGCCAGCAACTGATCAAAATGGGATCGTCGGAGCTGCCGGCTATGCTTCTGAACCGCCCTGTGCAATCGAAGAAATGCTACTTGAGAACTCCAAGCCTGCAAGATGGCACGCGTACCCGGAAGGCATCGCCTGCGCTTCATAATCCTATAGTGTGACCACATCCGCTTGATCAAGTTGGTGTGCTCATCTGATGTCCAAGCCGGCGGCTGCACTCGCGGGCGCTGGATGTCGAAGACCTGTTTCCCCACCTGTAACAGGAGATCATTGAGATGCTGCGGTTGATACTCGATCTCCGCCTCCAATCTCTCCTGAACCGCGGCCTTGAACTCGGCCGCCTTCTCCGGGTGGTCCTTCACCGCCTGTTGCAGTAATTTGCACTTCCACACCGGCCATTCTCGGGGAGCCTTGCGAACTTGATGAAGATATGGCCTGAGGGTGACAGCCACAATGGTGGGCAAGTGCCGCCCTCCTTCTCTCCACCTGCCGACCTCAAAACTCGAAAGGAGAGATGCTGAAGACGTCCCCGACTGACCCCGGCGTAGCAACAAGTAATCAACAAACGACTTGCGAGGGACCTTGTATCCCTCGTGGACGTAGGAGAATGTCGTGGGCCTACCAAAAGTGTTCACAGCCTGCAACTGAAAGTCTTGAACCAGCTGCTCCAAGCACTCGACGTCCGGAGAGGTCTGCTCTTTCTGCAGCATGCCACGACCTATCCAAGGATGCAATGGCTTGGCTGTCGTGTTCAAGTCACCTCCTGCGATGAGAAAGTGACCTTTGGGTACCTGACCAAGGGTGTCCCTGACCTCCGCCCAAATCGATGCCCGCTTGGTGATCAATTTCTCCTGCTCCGTTGCTAAGCCCCAGCTGTACTGATAGATGTTGACCACGTTTACCCAGCCTCCTTTGCACAGCGCCTGCACGTGAAGCACTCTGCCTGGAACGACATGGTGAAAGCGAACATGGGTCTGATCAAAGACATCTTTGCGAAGTAAAACCATGACGCCTGCATGAGCTCTAGCAGCCCCCTCACCGATGCCCGAGTTGATGCAGATCCATCCCCTGTCAAGAAAATCCATGTCCGATCGATACCAAGTCTCTTGCAGAAGAACTATGCTGTAATCACTGCCATGTACTTTAAGCCAGGTACGCAGCTCATCTTTGAGGTTGTTGAGCCCGCCACAATTCCAGGAAAATGCCCGCAATGAAAATCTGGATCCATTTTTGCATGGTGGCCTGCTTATTGCTGGCATAGGCTGAGGATCACCCGCTGTGGTCACACGATTGGACACATAGGACTTGCGAAGAGTTGCCAAGCTGAGCCATTGACCCCTGTACCAAGCACTGCCGTTCGCCTCTGCCCTGTTCAAGGCACGTTTGTAGGAGCGTTTTCTCGCAAATGATAAAGTGAAGCTGTTAAGGCCTGATGCACAATGTTTCGCGACTGAAGTGCCGACTCTTACCATCGCTGTCCTGTCGCTCCCAGGAGCCCCGTGCACGAGCTCCAAACCCTCGTCTCTGCTGCCAGCTGAAATGCCCATGTTAGGCCTCTCTTCTGCAGCCCGCGGATTTGGGACCGCGGCGGCCAAGTCATCACAAAAGTTGTTTGCTGTGCCCACTGTGCTCGACTGCATGTCAAAACTGCCAGGTGAAAAGCTCGACATGAAAATCAAGAATACTCCAAGCATGAAAATCGGCAAAGTGTTGTGAAATGCAGCAAAAGGGAAAAGTCGACGTGGAATACAGCAGCTGAAAACCATGCGCTCTACGGCAAGCTACAGCTACCCCACCCGTACTCACAGCAAAAACGCTCGGGCCGAGAGACTTGATTCACTTGGCTCTCGGTGTAGTCATCAATCGGCCTCGTTTTATCAAGAACCGAACCATCAGCCTGTGTGCTTGTTTGCCGAATGCCAAACCTGCGAGTGAGCACAGCACCATCTGGCAAAGAAAGTCGTGCGGCCCATCAAGCCATCCCCTCTCTTTCTCATCACAGGTGAGCGCGAAAACTTCTTCGGCAACTTGTTGTCCTTGGAAGATCGGCAGGCTCCCAAGATTGCCTTATTGATCGATGATGCATTGTCACGGACCTCCTTTGGCGTCAAAGTTGCAAAAGTGTTTTTCTTAGGCATGGCACCAGAAGCGGGCAATGGACCCATAATGTCAAAGCCTCTCTTCACCTGACTAGGCAGCCCACTGTCAACATGCCCACTTTCATCAAGCATTTCTTTGAACAGCCTAAGGTCCTTGCCCTTTAAGACCTCCGCGCAGTGACCCACAGGAGGATCTGGATCAACTTGCTCGGACAACTCTTTTGCCCTGCCCTAGCCACCCAGCGCCGAAGTGAAGCAGTCCTTTCCCGACCAAGACTCTCGTAACTTTCTGAAGCACATTTGCTGACACACTTCGCAAGTACATCAGGGATGCCACTGTAAAGGTGCTTGGGATGCTCAGCGAAGCATGCTTGCTGCACAAAATCTTCACAAGACTTTGGCACGGAGAAAGTCATTTCCCGAATCGAAGGAAGGTCAGCCCCACCCCCGAAGAGCACTGACCGAAGGCACTTGCTTCCAGCAGGCAGGCCATGCATGGGCGGCAGGACGACAAGCTCTGAAGACAATGGCGTAAAGGACTTTAAGACACCAGTGGGTGGCATGACAGCACCGGGTCCTCGAAGCACAACAGTGCCAGCAACAGGCGGCACAATCGGCGGGATGCGTTTTCCTTTCGGCTGCTTGGCAGCAGCAACCTGAGCAGCACGGTGCATGGACACATCAGTCACAGTGGATGGCGCACACCCAAAGGCTTTGAGGCGCTCAAGCAATGCTCTAGCAAATCCATCGCATAGGTCAGGTGGGTACACGTGCAAGGCACCCGACTGCCAGGGAGCATGAGAGTGCGAATCATCACAAGCAATTCCTAACCTACGAAGTTCAGGGTAGTTGTGGAAGAAAGTTGAGTGCTTAGCACAAGGATCCCCGAACATGCACTGGTGCAATGAGGTCTTGAGGAGGCCTAAGGCGAGGCAGGTTTTGCCAAGGGGGCCTTGCCACGCGGAGCTTGCAGCCGGGTTTTCAACTGATACGAGAATGCCACGGCCGTGGCACCACTTCAGGATCCGGGCCGACAGCTCACAAAGTTGTGCATCACTCGCAGGCGGCGAGATGTGCACACCACAAACGTTGCCGCGATTGAGAACATCCCACAGGAGCTCATGCTGTTCTTCATTTTTAAGGTCAAGCGGGAGAACAGGACACCGAGTGGCACCAGTGACACGGGAGGCGATGCCAAGGCACTGTCCAATTCCTTTACGTTTAACCGCAGCGGCCAGGTGACCCGCACCACAGAAGATCTGAAGGAACAGCATCGACTGAAGGCTATGACCCTGAAGTCTCTGTTCTGCACCAGCAGGTAGGCACTTGCTGCTGATTGGCGGCACCACAACAGGTGGAGTATCAGTTGAGCAGACAGCATCCAGATTGGGAGCAAAACCCTGCTCCTGTAGAGTTGACAGATCACATGGGCTCAACATGCAGGCATTGCGCACCGAAAAGGCAACAAGGACGACACGATCACCCTGCCAAGCAGCAGTGGCATGTCGAAGGCGATAAGCATCGAAGATGGAATGCGTGTTAGCCACCTCCAGCGCAACAGCGGGAAGCTTGCCCGAAGAGGTTTCAATCACACGTGGGCCTCCTGAGCTTTCAACTAAGACTTGCCCATCCTGAAAATTGCTTAGGCCCGCAACAAGATTTGGCATGGGAGCGTTGTTTGCATCAACGTGCGGACTCGTCTTGACATTGAAGAAAATGTTGATTGTGGAAAATTGAAAATCAGGAGAGATTGCCTTCACAAAACTAGCTAGCACAGAGCACGCCAAGGGAAAACGTTTGGTATTGGCCCGGAGGCCCAGCAAGGGTCCCTGACAATACATGCCACAAGCGAAAGCGCATCCCGTACCCTCACCACGAGCGGGTTTATCCTTCGGAAGGAGGTTGAACAGGTGCAACACCTCACTGCGGGCGGGCGCTCGTGCTAGCTTCAGAATCTGACCAGCATACACCTCGGCAGGGTGAATGGTCTCAGCCGGAGGTGACGAAGCCGGTTCAAGAGGCAAAACTGAATCCATGAACTTGCAAGTCAATCGTTTGGCACAGTGGTTATGACTAATTAGGGCATCCTGCTGGTTCGAATGCAGGGCACCGGCGGGAAAGGGATTAGGGTCGCATGCAGAGTCAAGTGAAGCTTCCAAAGCCTCACCGGTCTGACAGACCTTCACACGCTTGGCTGCACTTGTCATCGGCGCAGCGGGCGGAACCACAACAGGTTGACCTGAAAAATCCGCCTCAGGCAGTGGCAACCGTCACTCTTTGCATTCTTGCAGTGAGTGATTTTTGCCACAGCGCATACAAGCATGGATTCCACGACGGCAGGATTTGCCAGCCTTTGCGAACTTGCAGCCTTTCTTGCAATTGAAGGGCCAGCAGAACTTTTCACCTGCCTCGGTTGCCATCCGCAATCCAGTAATGTTCTTAAGCTCGTCCGGAAGCTCTGCTTTCTGGACCTTGTTGCCAGAATCTTGCTTGTTGGGACTGTTCGGCTTTCTCTTCTTATCCGGATCACCATGTGGAAGTTTTGGTGGCTTATCCGGCTTATCGGGCTTAACCTCAGAGCTCTTGAGGGGTAAGAGATGGAACAACACATGAGGGTCGCTCGTCAACTTCCCTAGGGCATCATCGAGGGGCAAATTGCCCGACGAATCTCTCCGAAGTGACTTCACCTGTTCCGACATGCGTACCCAACCAGCCCTGTCGGTTCTGAGCACCTGTTCAATCGATGGGCGTGACCAGCCCGGCGGAGCCTGCTGCTGCATCCTGTCTAAAAGAAAGGAGTGCCAGGCATGCATCGCCTCGTAAGTGCATGCCCCCATGAGATCGGAAGCAAGGGCCCGTCGCTGCAGGGCTTGCGACAGTGCCAATGGATCTTGTATCGCGCACTTGTATTTATCTGCCTTGTCACGCACAGAAATGCGGTTGTGGTCCAAAATGAGCTCTTTGCCAGGGCGCTCACGCGCCACCTCAGCTGCTCTCGAGTCGAACCGGTGCGGTTCCAAGTACATAGGGCTATCCTTCTCGATCATCGCCCCCACATAGTCGTAAGAAGCATACGAGCACTCGAGCTGCCCAACCAAGGTAAGACCCTTCATTTTGGCCTTCTGCTGGAGTATCCGAGTGGTCCTCTCAGCTGGTGCCAATTCGATCCTTTTTTCATTTCCTTCAACTGAAGCTTTGACGTGAGCCAAGCAAAGCGTCTGACATTCAAACATCAAGTGTCGGATTGCTGCCACAACTCCAACACTCACCGACTCAGGTGCCAGCGGTCGGAGAAGGGACCTCAGTTGTTCCTCAGAAGGCTGAACACCTGGAGCACTGGTCGAGAAAGCTAGGAGCGAGATCGTCTTGATCCCCGCAGTCTTCAGCCGCCCCAGCTCCTCATCCGGTAGCCCACACTCACGAGCTCGCTCATCGAACGCAGCCTCACTCTTCAGAAGGGTCGCCATTGCCAGAATCTGCAGAAGTCTACCGCACCAAACTAAGCGTGCACCAAGCTCTGCAGTTGCAATGACACCTGAACCATGCAAAATTGAGATACACTGATGGAGCAGCGATCCAAATGCATCGAGGGGGGACATGCAGCACTTCGCGGTATGCCGCAAGTTGCATCCAACCTCTCTCTATCTATTCGCACATCACGCAGGGCAAAGAGCATCTTGCCCATGCAGCGATTTTTGCACTCCTGTAAGCCGAGGACGATCTCGTCTAGCCCAGGGGGCATGGCAAAATGTTTGCGACGAGTGGCAGGTCAAGCCTCACGGTGAGCGCTCGGGCTGCCCGCACAGGAGTGCTGGTCACGCCCATGTTGCTCTGAAGGCTGCCACACTCGCCAGGTTTAGAAATAAGTGCTCCTGCCATGCCGGGAAATCATCCCAGGCGACAAAGAGGCACCAAGCAGTCCCTTTGCAGGACCTCGAGGTCACGCCTTGGTTCATTGCATCACCGAGCTGCCTGTGCCCAAGAGCACTGGTCACGCTGTGGATACACCAAGGCTGCCATGAGCAACTTAAGAAGATCCCTCCACCCGGGCCTTTTTAGTGGCCACTTCAAGGGCGTGGTTAAGGGCCCCCAGATCCCGCAGTGACCTGCCTCTGTAGCACTGCTTGCACTCAAGGGAGGCAATGCTCACACTTCCACAAACCGGTTTAAAAATTGCCTGATTCCACTCGCGGCCACACACAAAGCGACCCGATGAGGCTCCGGCGGGAAGCAGATGCACAGTCCTGGTAGTTTTATGTACATGAGGCACTCATTGAGCTTTCTATGCTCAAGTTCGCCAGCCCTCTCCCCAGAAGCTTGAACTCTCTCATCAACCGACTCAGAAGTAGATGACTCACTGCTGGAGGAGCTTTCACTCCCACCAGGCTCTGCATCACAACCCTCAGCACCGGTTTCCAAGTCCGGCTCGTCCTCCTGCTGCTGCGCCTGCTCCTCTGCTGCTGCCTCAGCATACCAATCCCGCTCTCCCAGCCAGTCAGCATCAGCCTCGCCTTCTGGATCCTGACCAGCCTGATCCAAGAAACCAGGCATCGGAAAAGGAGTCAAGGAGTCATCAAGCTGAGGAGGCGGTGACGGTGGGAAAGCAAACACAGGCTCAGGACCACCTTCATCAGGAGTGGGAAATGCACTAGACATGTCTCTGGCACTGAACAGAACACCGTCCAAAGGAGGATCGGAGTCGGCAGGCTCCTCAGGTGCAAAACGTCTGGACCTCGTGGAGTCAGGAAGGAAAACCCCTCGGCGCACATCGCCTATGAGAGCCTCAAACTTTCGGACCGGAGCCGCCTGCGTGTCCCGTGCATAGGTCAGGGCACTGCTGCGTCCAACCAGCACGTGGTGTCCAAGGAGGGTTTGCGTATCAAAATCTGTTCCGGCTTTGCCCATCCACGACAACGGCGTGGCCTTTGCTGAATGCCCTGAGATCTTATCCCCGCTGTAGGCCGGCACCGTTGACAGAAGATCCTGCACCCAAGCGGCAAAGCGATCAGTGTCAGCAGGTACATTGGAGAAGTTCCCATGAGCATCTGGCATATACAGTAAAGGCTCTCCCGAAGCAATGCTGGTGAGGTCACGACCCAGCTCCCTCGCAACCGAGATGAAGTCTTTGCCCCAACACCTGGGGCCGATGCCTTTGGCAGGCACCACAATGTGCATGCGCATACCCTGGCTGTTGCTGGTACTGCGGCACTTGTGCGAAAGAGACAAAACCTCAAGGTAGCCACAACCGCTAGCACTGTCCTCAAGAAGGTCGGTTATGAAGCAGTCAAGAACCCTAAGATCACCAAGCCTGGCCCGGCCATACAATGCAAAGAGGAAGGCTCCAGCGCAAAACCGATCGATGAGTGGGCGGCACTCATCCGCAAGTAGAGCTTCCAAGGCAAGAACTTCACTGGCAAGCAAGGCTCTCGCCTGCTTCTTTGCAGGTCGTTCCAAGCGAGCCTTCCTAAGGATCCCCTGCACGATTGGATTGCTACAAGCGTTCAGCTCCATGTCAACTCCAAGCACGTGATGCAGGAAAGCAAAACACTCAACTGCACCAGTAAGCACCGAATGCCTGCCGCTCGAGCTAACAAGATGTCGGAGAAACTCCTCAGCAATCTGCCCATCAATGGGGAAGGCCTTCACCGACTCCAACTCAGCCCAGGAGACTAGCTTGGCAGACTGGCCATACCTCTTCTGCAGTGCGCGAGGCGCCTTGCCTCCGAGTGCCAGCCTAACCTTGGTGTGCCGTTCTTCCAGGGTTGCTCCTCGAAAGCTGCGCCCCAAAATCGAGGCTTCATAAGAGTGTGCAAGGATTAGCTCGAACCTTTGAACATGAAGCTCGAAAATGCCTTCATCACAAAGTCTGACTTTCCTGGCCATCACTGTGACAGCATGCTTCAAGAAAACCACTTCTGAAGAAGAACTGCGAAACCTTGCAACACTGGATCTGGAGTGAGCCTGACATCTGACGGCCTGGCAACAAGCGGGACCAGCCGAGTCGTCGCGTCATCAAAAATCTGAGAGAAGACTCCTTGCTCCCAAGGCATGACCAGAGCCGTCACTGTAGAATTCTCCAGACCGGCATCAAAGACTGCTGCAGCCAGTGCACTGTTAGACATGGTGCCGCACAAAGTCGCACAATTTGGAGGGCCAAAATGAACCCCACAATCAAGAGACTCCGGTGATGATGCTGGAGCTGAGATTCGAAGCTTCTCAGGAGGCCAGCCTGGTTCTCAAGACCCTCCTCCAGACTGTCCTCGACAGACTCAAGTCTGCCGTTGAAGTTGAGGATTGTGCGGGCCACCTCACCTCGAGCTTCCTCAATGTTTCCTTCAGCACGCACAAGCCTGTTGCCGAAACTGAGAAGCAAGGAGTGCAGGCCTGCTATTTGAACGAAAGCAATGTCCAGGCGACCACGGGCCTCGTGTAACCAAAGCCTATAAACTGCGAGAAGTCTCTGCACTCTGCCCACCAGCAGCAGAAAAGCAAGAACAATGTGCTGCATGCACAGACTACCACGCCCCCCGCAACGACAAAAACTGAGCCTTTGCCCAGCTACGGGGTTTCCCACCTCCCTCCCTGGAGCCGTAATGTTGCACGGGCAAAGGAAGATTCCACATCGTTCCAAAGACTGGAAAACGATTAAGGGAAAACTTCGGGCTCTTGAAAGTCAAACTTTCAAAATTCGGAATCAGGAAAATAAAACTATATCACCTTCGGTGAGATTCGTCAGGTGCAGGATAGGTGCATGATAGGTGCATGATAGGTGCATAATAGATTAGATCTGGCGCGAGTGGCACGAGACTGGTGAGCACCACAGGTGCAGGATAGGTGCAGGATGGGTGCATGATAGGTGCATGATAAGTGCATGACGTGCAGGACATGTGAGTGGCACCCCCAAACCCAGTCGCCCTCAACAGCCCTCCCAGGCCCAGGACGCCCTCACAGTCGTTGCAGCCCCCCCAGCCCTCACAGCCGCTGCAGCCCCCAGGCCCCCAGTTGCAGCCCCCCAGGCCCTCACATTTGCTGCAGCCCCGGCGCCCTCACAGTCGCTGCAGCAGCCCCCCAAGTGCCCCTACACAGTGTTCTGCCGATTGTTGTGCATAGCGGCATAGCGGTATGGAGGACGGCGAGGCGACGACGGTGGGTTCACCGACCGAGGGTTCACCGGGTTACCGGGCGGGTGACGCACACGCGTGCACGATGATGACGGCGCGACGTGTTCGCAGCTGGTGGTGGGCCGAGGGTTCATCGTTGCAGCGACCACGACACGACGACGACGCGCGACGACGACAACGACCACGACGAGGCGGCGACGACAAGTGCCCTCAAAGTCGCCGTCGATGCAGCCCCCCAGGCAGTCGCTGCAGCCAGCCCTAGGCCACAGTCGCTGCAGGCTCACGGTCGCTGCAGCCCCCCAGGCCCTCACAGTCGTTGCAGCCCCCATGCAGTCGCTACAGCACTTACAGAAGCCCACCTCTCAGCCTTGCAAAGGGCTGCTCTTTTTCTCGACCCCGAAATATCTTTTTTCAGACCGCGCGCTTGGTCCATCTTGATTTCGACCCCGGCATGTCTTTTTTCCAACCTCCATCTTTTTTTCAGCCCCGCGACGAGGTCAAGAAAAAGATTATGATCTTTTTTTCGACCTCCACTCTACGATTTAAGCCGTCTTTTTCGCGGCCCCGAAACATCTCGTAACTGACCCGGTGTCTTTTTTCGGACCCCGGTGGATCTTTTTCTGGGCCTCTAATGTCTTTTTTCTGACCTCTGCAAAGATAGAAGCACGCACACATGACATATCAAACAACACAACAAAGTGCGCTACAATATGAATTTGTGCAACGCAAACTGCACAAAACTAACTTAACCATACTATCTTCAAACCAACATCTTCTCAAAGACACGAAAAGAAGAAGAAGCACGAAATCGCTTTAGGGGCTGAAAGCGAACGCAAGAAATCAAACTGTGTCATCGAAAAAACTATCACAAAAAAAAAAAACGTTTTCCAACACAAAGGAAGGAGAAGCCACACGATATCGCTTTAGGGGGCAAAAGCAAAGAAAATATGAATGAATAAAGGAAATTGAAAACACACACACACACGACAAAGGATCCTTTTTCCGGCCCAACTTGTCTTTTTTCTGGCCTCTGCTTGGGGCCGAAAAAAAGATCAAAGTCTTTTTCTGGACCCCGGATGTCGAACAAAAAGGAAAAAGATCACGCGGTCTGGAAAAAGACATTTTGGGGTCTAGAAAAAGACCAGCCGCTTCCTAGTCGCTGCAGCTTCCCAGGCCCTCACCCTCACACGGGCCTCCCCCTGACTGACCCAAGAGAATGGTGAGGATAGACAATCAGCTCGAAAGACTTGTGGGGCTTGGTTTGTGGGGCTCAGTTGCTGTGGCATGTTGTGGTGGAATGAGTGTGTCCAACACACATGGGTGACTGCGAGGGCGTGTAGCTGAACAGCTCTTCATCTCCATGAATCAACACGACAGGACGACAAGGCGACGACGCAGCGACGACGAGCGAACACGCAGCAAATGTTGCCAGCCAAATGTTGCCAGCCAAATGTTGCCAGCCAAGCCGCGCCAAATGTTGCCAGCCAAATGCCAAATGTTGCCAGCCAATTGCCAGCCAAGCCGCGCCAAAGTTGCCAGCCAAATATTGCCAGGCACGACGCGACATCGACGACGGCGCGACGACGAGGACGGCGCGATGACGACGACGACGCGACAACGAGGTGCAGCATACAGGCGCATCAGGTGCATAACAGCAGCCACGAGCAGCCACGCGGCGACGACGCGGCGCAGGCATAGGGTTGACAATCGGGTTGACAATTTCGCGGCGCGGGGTGGGTTGACAATTTCGGTTTCGCGGAGCCTTGAAGCTCGACGACGACGACGACGCAGCGACGACAACGCAACGACACGACGACAACTGACACTTGTGCTGAGGGCAGCGCGGGTGAGGACAGGATAGAGCTGAGGATAGAATAGAGGCCGGAGAACAAGAAGACGTTTTTTTTGGCGTGAATGGGCCTCGTCGACTACGGCTGTAGCACTCGGTCCCTACAAACAAACAAACAACAAACGAAGCGAAAAACTACAAAGCGGTGAGACAAAAGCGAAGCTCGACAAGCTGCGGCGCACAGGCTTTGCCGGTGGTATAGCCGTTCAGCAAACTACGGAGCCTCAGCGACCGATCCGAAGCAACAAAGAGCCGTCGCTCTGAGCTGCCCAAAGCAACAGGTGGAGCCGAATCCAAGCTCCGGCAGCCGTTCTAGTCTCGACAGACAACGGGCAGCCCCTGCGCTTTGTTCCGTCACGATCGAGCACACCAAAGTCCAAAAGTCCAATGTTCGCTGGGCCGAGGAATGCTGGCCAAGCGGGGCTTGAGTCGTTCGGCGCAACGACATCCAGCTCCTGATACCCGATGTTGGGACTTAGGAAACGGTGTGCAGTCCCGTGGCGAAGTTGCCAGCAGACATTTCCGTCAGACAATGCGCACAGTCAGACTCGGCAAGTGTGCAAACCGAGCGCACGCCTGGTGTGTGTCGCCGACGCAATGCACCATGGAAGCCAATAGAGTGGGTCGCCCAAGACAGCCAAAGTCATTGTTAGGGTCCTGGCCGTGCTGAGGCCGGCATCCACTCGACCCAGGCTGTTGGAAAAGAGTGCATCTAGGCCCGAACAAGGGTTCCACCAGACAGCACAATCGCACCCTGCGGAGTGCGGTGCAAGGAGAGGGATGGTGCGGGGTCATGCCTGCCAGCAGTTGAAGCATGTCAAAGCCCGAATAATGACGTTGGCCGGATTCTGGCTCCACGCACTTGCCAAAATCAAGAGGGAAGGCCATACAGGTGTCATGAACGGACATCGACGTATGTCGACGTGCCGGCAACCCGATGAGTCTCGAGGGACGGAGAGCACAGTGCAGGCACCGCCCCTTGGCCCCAAGTCCAGTGTAGGCCATTGAAGGTATCAGCTCAAACGGTGTTTGAGTCGACCCTGCTCAAAACCAGCCAGAAACGGCAGGCACCAAAGATTGAGACGGATGAGCCTCCAAAGCATAAAGGAGGCCAATGCAGTGGGTCACCCGAGACGATGCCGACGGTATTGGCCAAGATTCTGGCCGTGCAAGGACGGCGTCCACTCGTCCGTGTCCACAAAGAGGCAGACCCGAACAAGCGTGCCACCGGGCCGCACACTGGTACCCCACAGGTCGTAGTGGTTCAATGGAATGGTAAAGTGCTGGCCCGTTGGCCGGCCCTCAGTCCGCGCATTGCCGAAATGCCAGGAGGAGAGCCGGAGCAAGTGTCAGAAAACGGCCATCGACGTATGTCGACGTGCTGCGCGACACGACGCGACTGATTGGGAGCGCCGTGATCGCCTGCCCGTCAAGTTAGCTCTCTCTTGTGTAGCAGGGTGTTGGGCCCACAATCGATCGTCTACAAGGAAGCTGATTCAAAATCGAAAGGGCGTTGAGCCTACAGCCTCGGGCCAAAAACGAAAGATCGACAGGGCTCAGGGGCGTAGGACGCAACGATCTTCGGCCCTTTAGGCCCAAAATTTTCCTCGCAATCGGAGCTCAACGATTGTGGACTCTCTCGCTTCCCTCACTCCGCTGACTTCGCTTTCGCGCCGCTCTCTCCGCGCACTCAGCTTCGCTCCACTCACTCGTCCGCTCCGCTCCCTCGTTCGTTCCGCTCCGCTTCGTTTGCTCCGCTCGCTCTGCTTCAGCTCCGTCCGCTGCACTCCCCTCGCTCTCTCCGCGCACTCAGCTTCGCTCCACTCACTCGTTCGCTCCGCTCCGCTCCGCTCCCTCGTTCGTTCCGCTCCGCTTCGTTTGCTCCGCTCGCTCTGTCCGTTCCGCTTCGCTCCGCTCGGTCCGCTCGGGTCCACAATCGTTGAGCTCCGATTGGCTCGTCCTAATTTTGGGCCTAAAGGGCCGAAGATCGTTGCGTCCTACGCCCCTGAGCCCTGTCGATCTTTCGTTTTTGGCCCGAGGCTGTAGGCTCAACGCCCTTTCGATTTTGAATCAGCTTCCTTGTAGACGATCGATTGTGGGCCCAACACCCTGCTACACAAGAGAGAGGCCGCAGCTTTTTCGCGGTTTCTGGGCTGCGAGCTCCTCTGTGTGGCTACTCCGCGTGGCTACTCGGTGTGGCTACTCGGTGTGGCTACTCGGTGTGGCTACTCGGTGTGGCTACTCGGTGTGGCTACTCGGTGTGGCTACTCGGTGTGGCTACTCGGTGTGGCTACTCTTTGTGGCTACTCGGTGTGGCTACTCCGCGTGGCTACTCGGTGTGGCTACTCGGTGTGGCTACTCCGCGTGGCTACTCGGTGTGGCTACTCTGCGTGGCTACTCCGCGTGGCTACTCCGCGTGGCTACTCTGTGTGGCTACTCCGCGTGGCTACTCCGCGTGGCTACTCGGTGTGGCTACTCTGTGTGGCTACTCCGCGTGGCTACTCCGCGTGGCTACTCTGTGTGGCTACTCGGTGTGGCTACTCGGTGTGGCTACTCTGTGTGGCTACTCCGCGTGGCTACTCGGTGTGGCTACTCTGTGTGGCCGTGGCCGTTGTCGTCGTCGCTGGGGGGACCTGGTGCCCTCGCTCGGTGCCCGCACGGTGCCCTCATGCCCTCACTGCCCCCCCCCCGAAAGTGCCCTGGCAAGACGCTGCAGCCGACTTTTTTTGTATCTCCGAGCCATGCTTTCGCTCAAAGGACAGTGGGGTGGCCCTGGAGAAGCACCGTAATAATCTCCGCCGGCCAGCTCGAAATCTCTTCCAGATGAGCCTGATATACGATTGTTCGCGGAGGCACATTTCGCTCGTGACTTAGTCTTGATGCGGTTTCGAGCAGCCGTATGTCTTTGAGTGCTTTTTTGCGAGCAGCCCGCCACCCTACATCTTCGGCTACTTCCAGCCACGTTGCCTGCATGAAGGTAACCAAGTACAACGGTTTGTTTTTCAGCAAAGTCGAAGCTTCAATACCACACACTCGCAAGAACGTGCTGTGCAGATTCATGACGAAGCAACGGGCATTGACCAAGGGCATCTTGTATTCATTCAACAAAGAGCGACAGGTGCAGTTGAAGTTCCAGAGATCCAACAGCAGGACATGACTCGCGTGAACAAATCGCGACATGTCTCGCATGCGCACTGCTATCTCATGAATGATTCTATCACGGCGAGAGTCTTCACGCGAGCCAGGTGAGGGCATCCACTGCTCTGGAAACAGGAACGCCGTGATGCACGTCAGAATCGTGAGGTTGAAGTCTGCAACACCGGCCATCTCCCTGGCCGGCAAACACACACACGCACGCACACACACGCACACACAGAGCACTCGCAGGGACCACGCAGGAGCCCCTAGCCTCGAAGAGCTCCGAAGACCTGGCCAGGAAAACATAGTCTTACAGCGGACTGGCGGGCAACTGCAACGGTGCAAGGTGTTCTCAACGGTGTAACTGGTTTGTCGGCGGCTGTACGAACTGCCCCTTCACTCTGTTGTAGGTGACAGGAGCTGAGTGCACTGACTTCTATAAGCCCAATCGGCTGACTGTGCACAAGGCGAGGGCTCTAGAAGTGCAGTGATAAATGCCAAAGGCCTCGAATTGATCGATAGCTCGGACTAAACAGTTGCTCAGTTCGCGAGGAGCTTTCTGAAAGCCGCTGCGGGTAAGGTTGCCGAGACCCTCCCGATCTCATGAAGCTCAACCGTTCGATCGGGGCAGCGCAGTTGAGTCAAACGGATCGAGCACGTGTCCGCCTCGACTGCGAAGCTTGACTCTGCACCATGCAGCTCGATCGTCAACATCTGGCTGGACTCTGGATGGTTCTTCACTATGAAAATCAAGCTGCGCAAGCTCTCGCCGCAAATGACGCTCGGCCAAAAATTGGCCGTCTCGCACACCACGAACCAACTGCAGCTGACGATCATCAGCTTTTTGCTGTGTCGGAAGTGGAGTTCGGCACACCCGGAAACCTGAAGGTCGGGCTCCACGACTGGGTCGGGCTCTTCAAAGGCCTCCTCCTCCAAGTCCTCCTCTTCCATGCGCACGTCCCAGTTCGGCCAGTCCACCAATAAGGACTCCAACGCTTCCTCGGTGATCAAGGGCTCCTGGAAACCGTCTGCAGCGCGGGAGTCGCCAGACTCGTTTTTGGGCTCTGCGGCGCGGGAGTCCTCGTTGTTGAGCTCTGCCGTGTGGAAGTCGCCGGGCTCGTTGTTGGGCTCGGTGGTCTCTGCAGCGCGGGAGTCGCCGGACTCGTTGTTGAGCTCTGCCGCGTGGAAGTCGCCGGGCTCGTTGTTGGTCTCTGCGGTGTGGGAGTCGTTGGGCTCGTTGTTGGTCTCTGCCGCGTGGAAGTCGCCGGGCTCTGCGGTGCGGGAGTCGTCGGGCTCGTTGTTGGTCTCTGCGGTGCGGGAGTCGTCGGGCTCGTTGTTGGTCTCTGCGGTGCGGGAGTCGTTGGGCTCTGCGGTTTCCGCGGTGTGGTAGTCGCCGGGCTCGTTGGGCTCGGTGGTCTCTGCGGTGCGGGAGTCGTCGGGCTCTGCGGTCTCTGCGGTGTGGTAGTCGCCGGGCTCGTTGGGCTCGGACCCTGCAGCGCGGGAGTCGCCGGGCTCGTTGGGCTCTGCGGTTTCTGCGGTGTGGTAGTCGCCGGGCTCGGTGGTCTCTGCGGTGCGGGAGTCCTCGGGCTCTGCGGTCTCTGTGCTGGGCTCTGACTCTGCCGCGTGGCTGCCGGGCTCGGTGGTCTCTGCCGTGAGGGAGTCTTCGGGCTCCTTGTTCGCGCTAGTGCTGGAGCGCGCCGGCAGGGCCCCTTCAATGCATTCCACCCTCATCCCAAAACGCAGGCTGTAGATGGAGGTCGGCGCGATGTTGAACGCTTTGAATAAAAGCATGTAGTTCATTCTAATGAATTTCCATCGGTTTTCATGCGATGCGATGGAGAGTCATTGTTGTTGGTCCACTGACTCGCTCGATTGGGCTCCCTGTCGAGGGATGTCGAGGGACTAACTAACGACACAAAACGTGCAGAGCCATGCAGCAGAGGAAGCGTTCATTGATAATAGGCACGTCCAGCAACGCGGTCCTGGCCCCAAGAAGTCCCGCCCCGCAGCGCCATGAAGACAAGCATCAGGCAGGCACCTCAGCATGGAGCATGGAAAGTCTTTCGCAACGCGCCAAGGGGCCGCGTGAGGCGAAGCTATGCGAAGCTCGGCTGGGAAACCCGACCGCCAGTGGCAAAGGCCATGGCCAGCTCCCGGAAGTGTCGCGCATCCAGCTCCTGACAAAACACAGCAGACAGAATGCCTCCTTCCCTTCTCAACGAAAGGACTTCGTCGCCTTTTTGCGCCTTCTACGTTCTTCACTCTCTGCACTCTCATCTCAGCAGCGCATCAAAGGCTGGGATGGTTACACCCACAGTCCATGCCTCAGTTGTCTTTAAGTCAGAGACCCCAGCGAAAAATGACAACATCGAATGACCAAAACGAATCAGAAGCTGCAACAGCTATCTGTTCACCAGGCACTGCCATGGCAGCAAGAAATACCCAAACAAGTTGGCTGCTCGATAAGCCCGTCTGAACCAGTGTCCATTCCTGGGCGACACACGCGAGCGAACACAGGTCTCTGGATGCAAACATCCCAGCCTTTCATTTAGCCTAGTCAGGCCTTGTCTATCAAGCCGAAGGCGGTCGGCTCGCCGGGCGGTACACCGCACCCCGCCACCCGCAAAAGGTCACCGGGCCGTGCTGCTACGAAAGGTGACCAGGCCAGCGATTCCTGTCAGCCCTCCTACATATTCCTACACCTTAGTTGCACTCAGGCCGCGGGGTAGTACTAGCAAGGGCAGCAGCAGCAGTGGTAGCAGAAAGAGGTGCAGCAGTAGGTTTCCACCTGACTGTACACTTGACAACCGGGATCAGTCGGGCCTGGCTTACCTGGTTGAAGACATCGATGCAATCCCACAGAATTCCATGTGGAATAAGAAAACGGCTTTGAATAGATCGCACACGGCGCAAGCGTCTTTCGTCGACAGAATGCCTCAACAAGTTTGTACCAAAAATGGGCCAAACCAAATGCCTACGCAGCATGCCTCCACGAGACCACAGAATTCACGTTGCATGCGGAGTCAAGAATGGGATCAACACAGGAATGTAGTTTGGGCAAATGAACTGTTCTGCAAGGCGGCTGGGCGTTATGGCACTTCTTCAGGCTGTAAACTGCCCAGAAACTGCACACACAAAATAATCATGTACCCGCACGGTTGGCTCCGCACAGATTGTATACAGTCACCACGTGTCGTCGGGGCCGACACCACAATCCTATGTAGCATGTCGTGGCATGTGAAGCATGTGCGGCATGTGGCACAAACACCTGGTGTCATGTCTTCCACTAATGCTGCCATGCATCCAAGTTTTTGAAAACACGAGGGTCGTACATCACTGAGCGAAAAAGCTCCTGGTCCTCGGTTCGAGTCGAGGTGCAACCGCGGAGACTTGAGGCCTGCCATGTGCCACACCGCAATGCTGAAGCCAGCTCAATTCAAGAACGACCACGCAGAATCCTCTCCAGTGAATCTGAAGGTCTTCGTATCACCAGACAGCTGCAAACAGCGAAATGTTGAAGTTGTTCGTATGGCAAAACGCAACCGCATGGCTACTCTGAACCAGTGCTGCTAAACTCAGTGCCGCTCCAATGCTACAAGACCAAATAAGGACGCCACATCGCTACCCTGCGACACATCCGAGATTGCACCTTCTTTCTACACAGCTCCTGCCAGTCTTCGTTTGTTGACGATGTTGCAGTGAAACATATCATGAAACTCAAACTCTGCGAAGAAATTCAAGACGCGGCCTTCTCCATGCGAAGCCACTGAATTTTCTTGCGCGCTGTGGGAGGGAAGCTAGAAGGGCTGGTTTCAGTTGTTTCGAAGCCCGCCTTGCAGTAGCATTTGATTGCGGCCTCGTTCGTCTCCAATACCGAGAGCTTGACCGTGGAGTGGTTGGAGCCCTTCTTTCTCGCGTTTGTCTCTGCTGCTTGGAGCAACAGCCCTCCTAAACCTTTCCCTTGATGTGATCGATCGACTTTGCAATGCCCAATGCTCAGCTCGTCAGTTGTAAAGGATGCAAAAACGTATCCTGCTATAGTGTTTGTGCTCGCCGACACCGCAGCCAATGTGAACTGATTGCTGCATTTGCCACTTGCCAGATTCTCAATGGCTGCCAGCCGGTTGCTCGTTAAGACCAGTGGGACACCGACTAAGCTTGAAGCATCTCTCAACTGTAACTCTCCGTACCAAGGATGCCACGTGTGTAGATGAGCGTGGTCGGCTGTGAGCTCCCTTTCGGAGCGTCTCAGGCGCTTCGCACAGTTGTGGACAGCTGCACATACATAGTACTCGTCGTTCTCGGCTACGATGTCGACGCTAGCCTTCTCGAGGACGGGCTCCTTCTCGTCCTCTGGCTCCTCCTCCTCGTCCTGCCCCCACTCCCACTTGGTCAACAGAGATCGTGTGGAGGCACCCGGGCATGAGACATGTGGCGAGTCAGATGCTTTCCGCTTTCGTGTCGTCTGGAGCATCTCTGGCTGGGAGTCGGACAACATGTTCCGTGGGCTGAGGCCAGCGGTCGAAACTACGTCTAGGGATGCTCCCCGTTCTATGAGCAGGCTCGTTATCTCCTTGTGTCCATGCCTAACTGCGTAAAAAATTGGCGTTTCTTTGATGTCATCCTGGAAGTTCGGCTCGAACCCCAGATTCAACAAAAATCTTACCATTGTGGCATTCCCTCTCGATGCAGCATAGAAGAGTGGAGTCTGCTGGTTCTTGTCTGTCTCTGCCAGATCTACCCCCATCTTTACACACAGCTTCGCCAGCTGTTCGGACCCAGGACGTGCTCGGGCTGCCGCGAAGAAGAGAAAGTTCTGCTCCAGAGAGGAATGCTTCCACTCTATTTTGGCTCCCTCCAGAGCCTTCCGAGCTTCGGAAAACGCTCCATCCCTGACTTTAAAGAAAAGCCGATCCCGATTCACGGGCTTCATGCGAACTTCATGTGAACATTCCTTGAGCCTGAGCTTCGATGGGGGTGCATTCCCTCCGCATGGAAATCCCTTGTGCAACCCGTGTATTCAGAGATGCAGGAGACAACACAGTGCTGGAGTCCACAAGCCTACCGCTCTGAGTTTGTTTGTTTTCGTCCAAGTATCTGGATTGATGAGGCTCACAACCCTTCCGCGATGCACTGGAGCGGGAAATGCAGCGAATGTGCCGCTGGCTCCAAACATGTCCTTAGACTTCAAGTTGGCCTGCTTGAGCATCCAGAATCAAACGTTTCATTCCATCGAATGCTGCATGATGGTGACCACAGCATTCCCAACCACTGCAACGCCTACATGGACCCACAACGCTTCTCCGGTCTTGACTTGATACAGTGATACAATTTTACATGCAAACATGCAGCAACGCCTATGGTCTGACATCCCGGTACCCTGGAGCTTTCCCCAAAGACACAACGGGTCTAAAGCCATCCGAGCCGACAAGCATCGTTTGATGCTGTTGAGGTTCATCAAGTTGTGTTCTGCAGTTGCATGCTGCCAGTGCAGCTACTCCACGTTTACCGGAACCCCTTAAGCTTTAAGCGGAGTGATTGCAGATCGAAACACAAAAATTGAGATTCATGGAGGAAGCCCAGGGTCGGCGAGCAAGTCATCAATGGGCTGCACGTAGCCGGTCTCTGCGTGTCTTTGCAGAACGTCCTTTGCCGCTTCTCTGGAGATGACGTAAGCCGTGGTGCCAAGGCCGGGAGCACGTTCGATCAAAACGGGACCGTACCAGTCAGGTGCTGTGCGCTCGACCCTGACGATCGGCACATCCTTCTCCTCTTTTCGAAGCTTCAGTGAGGCCGCAGAATGCACCAGGCTCAGGTGCAGAATCTTCCAGGAAGATCTACTCGCCCACCCATCCAACGCGTCAAGCATGGCCTTTAGGTCGGAAGCTGAGAACCAGGACATTGTCTTCGAAAATCACAGCCCAGGGCATACCTTCAGACGTGATCTCCTCGTAAACCGCAAGATGAGAGAAGTAGCAACCGCGGGCACCGTCGGCCACGTCACGCTTGAATAGGCGGACCCGTGGATTGCAAACAGTTTCCAAAGCTGCTGTGGCATTGCTCCGCCGCTCATTCGCGCAATCTGTGCTGATCAAGAAACAATTAGAAATCTCGCCGGAGTCCCCAGGCAAGCACCTCCTTGCTCGACGGCTCCCCAACCGTCCGGGAGTTGCTCCAAAGGAGCTCCAGAATTGCAGAAAGGTCCTTCCTGACGCGGCTAAGCTCAGCGCTAGCATCCAGACGCGCAGCTTGGAAATCGCCATCGGGCCAAGACAGCAGATCCATACAAACACAAAGATGTTCTGCTCACTATCGCGATTGCCTCTCCTCTCGTCCTTTCTTCGTCGCTCAACTCTCGATTGAACATGCATCGGTCGCTTCCGGTCTAGCCTGACGGTTCGAGCCGAACCGACCACGCCTCTGGTTGGCCATGCTGGACAGAGATACAAACAAGCATGCAAAGCATCCTCCGTTCTCTGGACGAGATCATCGTACTCTTGGATCATATCGCGGCCAATCCTAAAGCAAAAGGTTCAGTGTGCTGTCGAACTGCTCAACCAGTGTTAGTGACATGTGTGCCTGTCTGCTCAACTTTGACAATCCAAGCAGCAGAAGGGCATCCGGGTTGTCCGACAGCCTGAGATTCACTCGCATCTCGGGTCTTCCGTCTGCCGGATGACGTCATCCACTAGCCAAGCTGGGCACTGAAGGTGCCTTCGCCGCTGTCGGTAGCCTCGCAAAGGTCGCGTTGGGTCACCACGTGTCACCACGTCACCATTGCAAGGCTCTGCGAGTACGACGAAAGGTCTACAGCTGAGCGCGGCCTTGGCCACAAGATGCCGAACAGGAGCCCCAAATGCCCCACGTTGCCCATCCACAGAAATGCCTGAAAGCGCGTTGAGTCGCAGAATACTTCGCAATGAAAGCACCAAAGCACCCGAGGCCGAGGCTGCGCGTGGCAACTCCTCGGGCACTTGCCGGCCTCCCGAGCCCGAGCGAGCGCTGCTCTCTGAGCACTCTCTTCGGCTGCGCCGAGTATCTTCGACAAGATGTCAATTCTGGAAAAGAAACGGAAGCGGCTTTGCCTCCTCGGTGTCCGTGAGCTCACACTCTTTGCCTTTCAACCCCAAACATCCCCAGTCACCGTTGCTAGCAACAGGGCCGCAAAGGAATATCCAGCCTCCAGCCGTCGGATATTGCCGGATGCTGCGAAACCTTTTGGATGGCTTCAATAAGTCTTCAATAACTTGTCAATAACCATTAAACATCATAAACTGCCTTTGATCTTCTGTTCTTGACAACTTCGGCCTCTTTCTCTGTCCGCTGCACTTGCCACAGGCGCCCCAGTCCTGCCAAGGGTGTTGCTAATGACGGACGCTTGTCTCAAGCCTTGCGTGCGGTTAAAATCATTGCTGTGAAGCATGACTGCAAATACAGATGCCGGCAGGCCCTCAAGAAGTCCTCCCAATCACCAAAAATGCAATCTTTGGGTGCAGGGCCACCGCATTCATGTCTGGCCTGAATCCAACTCAGATTCAACCGATTTCAGATGGGATCTTGTGGCATGCTTGATGCTGCTAGATTTTGAGGCGGCGCGCAAAAGAGCCAGTTTCGAATCACAACTCAACAGGCAGCCTCCTGTTGCGGTAAACTAGTCAAAATTATGTGCAAAGATGCTGTCATAGCTTCACAGAGTTCCGAGACTATGCCGCCTATGCCACTCTCGAGATGGAGAGCGGCAGAGAGGAGAGAGGAGAGCGGCTGACTTCGAGAGAAAGCCGGACGGGGCGGCTCCGCGGAGCTCCGTGCCGAGCGGCTGGGCGAAAGAGATGCGCTGAAGCCGGCCGCACGCCTGGCTGCTAACGGGCCGCGGCCGACTGCCTTGAAGTGGCACATGGATGGCGACCCATCGCTGTCCCCTGCACTGCCCGTCCCGCCACGGGAGGCACAGAGAAACTAAGCAGACAGAGAAGAAGTGGCGCTGACCCAATCACGCAGATCAAGCATGCGATGGATTCCGTTTCCGCCGATTTCCGCGCACTTCCAGGGAAGCTCAGGGAAGGCGTCTATCACGTGCATGGACATAAGATCTTTGGCAGTTGCTGTCACGATGCCAGTTTGATAAAGCCGTCCGGAGCCAAGAACGATGACATCGGGGAAATGCTGCATCTCTTCAAAGTTTGCACACTGTTAGCGGGCAACAGACGTACCCGAAGCCCTAAACCATGGGCGTGATAGTACAGTCCCCATAGCAGGGTTAACCAGGTTTTGTCCCTTCACAATAGAACCGGAGGGACGAACACTCGCGCGCTTCTTCGGGTCGCCTCTGGCCCTGCTCTTGTTGAAGCAGCCTTGTGTGGACAAATCACACCTGCGCAACGTGTTCCAAGTCTGCTTGGGCTGGCTGCGGCGAAGGGCTCGCCCACGAAACGCTCCATCATTTCATCGTCAGAAAAGAAGCTGCGCACAACCCCCTGATTCGAACAATGCTTGACCCTGCGATCGTTATCATCGTGTCGTGAACGTTCTGCTTCGCCCTGCTTGTAGTCGTGAAACCGACATGTCAACGGTTGGGAACAAGCCTTCTATGATTTGCCCTGCCAGCTGGCGGCTCCCACCAAAACAATAACAATGCACGCACGAAGGACCTCCAACCTAGAATTGCCCAGCCGTTTGCGCTGATGCCTCGAGCAAGTATCAAGTATGCTGCAGTCCGATTCAGGCTGCATAAGAGTTGTGCGGCAAACAACTTCCCTCTTATGCGAACATATGCACAAGGCCTGACACCCGAAACCTAAATAACGGATTCTAAAGGCTGGCTCGAAAAAACATTCGAACAAGCCTACTACTAGCCCAGCCCGAGCTGAGGCGTTCCGGCGGTGCTAATAGTGCTTGCCCAAGCCCCGCAGCTACAAATCCCTGCTCCCGCCGGACAGACTCCGAGAAGCCTTGAAGGGTTCCCAATGCGGTGGTCTGATGTGCACACGGGCCGCTCGTGTTCGAGAGCTGGCAGGAGCTTGACAGGACGTTGCTAGAACAAAGGAGCCGTCGGAAAGCTCCCGGCGCACTCGGAGATCTGCTTGAGGTCGCCCTCGCCTTGGCAATTCTACTCTTTGTTTGGCGCAAAGGTTGCTGTGTTTGGTGCTGAAGCCGAGTAGGGCTCCCGCATGGTAGTCCTCCGTTCTTGGCATGTTGAACTATCTCTCGGCTTCGCCTGAAGCGTCAACACATCCTACAGCTGAAGCCTCTTGCTGCCAGACTGGGCGTGCCTGCCTAGTTTCACTGAGCCCATTTCGTGTTTCACTGTCTCGCCAAGAACAATACGACGGCCACGGTCTGTTCGCAATTGCCAAGGAGGCGTGCGTTAAACGTCCCAGCCAACGATAATCAGTCCTTCAGCAGTGGTTGTGACTGCCATAATTAGTTTGAGACACCAAGGCACGCATGCTCGCCGCCGTCGCAGGTAGCACTGCACTCTTTCCAAGCCTTCACAGCTTCGTCGTTGCAACGGCAGCTACGCGCACTAAGCACCCCTTGATCGTGATTGGGTTTCGCCCAGCCTCCCACGGACCGAATAAGCAGTCTTGCGCGCGGCCCGGACCACAGCCCTGCAGTGTGCAGCTGAGACTGCTGAGCTTGGCCGTGAAAGGTCTTTCGGAAAGTCCCTGGCCTGTGGCAGCGAGGAGCCGAAAGTCGGATGGCACGGTGCCGTCTCCCGCAGGCCCTCGAAACAACACATCTAAAACAGTTGAAGCCACGTACCACCGAGGGCCAGACGCCCTTACACCATCGGCCATCGGCCCTTCCGTAAACCCGTACCTGGCACATCTGGCACCCGAACTGCGTTGCGACGCCACGCCAAAAGAAGCGTTCGCATGCGTTCGCCGGATGTCTCCGGTCGCGGACCACGCGGGAACGATGGCGGATCCCATCGCAGCTCGAGGAGCAGGCACTCCAGGAGCTCCACCTGAACTCGTCCACGTCGTGACGACGTCTCCGGCGTCTCCGTCTCCGTCTCTACCGGACTGCGGCGCAGCTCGGAGCCCGGCTCTGAGAGCTCGCAGTCCACGGGCCTGCACGAGGGTTCCCTTAGGCCCTAGTGGCACTTTCAAGATTTCAGCAACTTTCAGATGAGACCTGGAGCAATGAACGCCCACATCGCAGAAAGCAATCTCCCGATTCTTTCCCAGAGGCCTGAGCTTCCGGTGCAGGTTAGCGGCGAGCGCTGTGCCAGGCTTTTCCCAAAGAGCCATTCAGCAACCCTGGGCGCACTGCTCGCGGCCACAGTCGTTTGCCATGATTCCGATCCTTTGCATGGAGGGCCAGTGCAGGTACAGTGCGATGCTGTATCAATGCCTTATCACTCGCCCATGTAGTCCCATGGCCTTCGTCTTCGGAATCTGACTCCACCACCTTTCGAGCTTGTATACAGTACTGCGCCTTCCTATGTCAAGGATGTCGGCAAGGTCCGATTGTGCTGAGCTCGGCTACCACATGTGACGGAGCAGGGGGCCCATGAGGTCCATTCAGCCCACCTCACGTCAAAAGACCAAGTCTTGGGAGCAGCGTCTCCAACCGTCAACCGTTAAGCATCCAGCTGCCCATCTCGACAGTCTGACTGGCCACAGGGCTGAGTGTTGCAGGGCCTGGGAATCGCTGAGGTTGCAACACCTCAAGCAAGCATTGCTCTCTAGGAGCCATACGCGATCTGCTCTTTGTCACCCTCCTGGATAGTATCCAGGCGCTGCTATGACAAACCACCGTGAAGCTGTCCGAGCTTTGGAATGCAATGAGTCCTGACAGGGTAAGCCGCCATTGCGAGGGGCGCGGGCGATGTGCCGCGTTCTTGTCTGCCTCTTGGGGTAGAAGAGGCCGTGAGGGGGAACAAACTCTGCTCTTCTCCGCTGGGCTTGGGGTTCTGGCTGTCCCCCGTCACAGCTGCAGGTGCACCCACTCCAGTCGCTCCACTCGCCTGCAGCCCAGGGTCATAAAGAGTACATCTGAGCCGACTCTGGGTTGGGGCACAAACCCCATTCGCAGTCCAGTTTGCCACAATAGTGCTCTCCTTCCTCAAGCACACAGCAACATGGAAAATTGACTTCTGTGAACTTGATCCCTGAGGTTCTCACGCACTGCTGAGTCATGCCGAGGCCTTTGTTACAGCCTGAAGCACATTCGAACTTGTCTAGGCTAGGCTCCCAAAGTCTGCTTAGACACCGCTTCCATTGTACAAACTCCCAAGACCTGCAGTCCTCATTTCCTTCGTATGTGACAGCAGGAAGGCAGTACTCTCGCGAAATAGGAGCTGCGCCGATGCCGTCAAGGGTTCGCAAGCTGACGATGTGCCGGCCTAGATATCCAAACCAATGTAGACGTATTACGGCTGGAGATCGGAGGTAGCTGAGTGCCAGGCTCCTGCTCTGTTGCCCAGCCCCACAGCTAGAGGAGCAAGGCCCCCACCTCTTGTCAGAGCTGATTCAAGCCTGTCTTAGGCCTACTGCTGTGATGGCACACTCAGCACAAGACTGACCCCACTGCGAAACGGTGCAGTCTTGAGCATCACAGGACCTTCAATCAAGCGGATGACGTGTGTGGTGATGAACTCTAATTACGAGACATGGAAAGCCCAGTTTGGTCTCCCACTGGGTGTTGCAACTGCGTGTCACCTGCCGTGATACTCTTGCTTTGCAGAAAGCCCTCAACGGAAGGCACCGCGATGCGATGCCACGAAAGTTTTGGCACTGCATCGCCTTGAGGTCCGTAGGGCAAGAGGCCCCCCCAGCTTGAGGGAAGCGTCGGACCTTGACGTCGCACAGAACACATTCTCGTTGAGGCACGTGCCATCCGGAGCTGCCTCCCGATGTCTCGTCGACTGCCCTCCACCGCAGCCTCAGCGTGATCAAGAGCCAGTCAAGCTTGCACTGCACCACATGGTATCACATGTCACAGGTGATGCCTTTCAGACCAGATGATGCCATAGTCTCTCTCGCTCTGTCGCTCTGTCTGAATTTCCGAAGGTGAAAACCCAAAGCACACAGGTCGGGCACTGAAACACAGGCACAGGCTCACAAACAGGGAACGGACGGAAGGAAGGCGCTTGCCTTCTGACGCTGAGGAGACGGCCTCGATCACAGTTGTCCCACTCGCTCCACTCCTGAGCTTGGAGAGCGCTGCTGCGGCCAAAAACAGCCAGGAAACGCTGAGAACGAAGCCGACACGAGGCAATCGCTGGTCACCGGGGGAATGCTTTCCACCTCCTGTACGTGGTACGGGTATCACGGTATAACCGGGTAAAGCTCAGTCTGAATTGCTACATCTACTACCTCTAGTGACTCTGTACTAGTCCTCCAGTGAACCTTCGCCTTGGCACGAGCAATCGTTCTTGCATTCAGGGAAGCAAGTGTTCTAGGGCCTAGGGCCTAGGGCACATCTCGGGCGAGAGCAGGCATCACCACCATGAAGAGCCATCTGCACAATCTTTCTCTCGCGCTTCCTCTGAGTGCTGGTGTCCTTGTCGCAGCATCTTGGACTTCAGAAGCCGAACGTGGTCGCTGCTCCTGCCGCTGCAGAGCACGAGCCCCACGCTGCAAACCTGACTTTGAACTCCCAAAGACAGATTCAGATGTTCTCATCTTCTAATCGGAAGCGCGAGACTCCAGTCACACGACAAAATCATAGAATTGATGAGGGCACGGCTGGCAGTCAACTTTCTCGAACCATCGCAAACCTTGTCATGCTTCAAGGCTGTGCGGCTCGTGACTGGGCAACTTTCAGCAGCACTCTGCACTCCGCAGCTCCCCGTCGGCCTTTGAGCCATCACATGCCACCAGCTCGGTCAAACCTTGGCCGTAGAGGCGGAACTGAACATGCGGATTTCATAGACTTTCCCTCCAATAGGGCCTCCTTGCACTGCAGTCCACCGCCTTGCTGCATCTGCGTACGGATCGTCTGCTCTGGGTCTGGAGCATTCCGCGATATACCGCGACCAGCGGGCAATCGTGTATGTGAGTCCTTCCATCCGCCACTGCCGCAGGTGCGACTGCAGGAGGACCTCGCAATTGCATCCAATTCAAGCAAGTAACCGCGGTCGACCAGCACGGGCGGCCGTCCAGGCTGATCCAGGCAGCAGGCCACGGATCCCAGGGCGAAAAAGCGCAGTCCACCTTCAAGGTGGTTGCACTCACCTCAGCGAAGCACAGCTGCCCCAGGACTCCTTCGATAGACGCAGGCAAGGCAGCTTTGGCGGCCACGGTCTCCTCTTAAAGGACCCACCTCGCAGTGACTCGCCGTGGCTCGCCGTGGCTCGCAGGTCCAGGAAGCTCCAGCTTTGAGTCGCGCGCATGGTCTTCCTTCGTTCTCGGGCTGCTGGGCCTCTTCGACATGGTGGCTGGACATCAGCAAGGATGGAGCGTGTTCGTGCGACTGGGATGCGAAGACCAGGCATTGACTCCTGCAGGTGAAGAAAAAGAAGACGTCAGAAACGCTTGGCCGCGATTCTCGCTTCCCTCACTCCGCTGACTTCGCTTTCGCGCCGCTCTCCGCGCACTCAGCTTCGCTCCACTCACTCGTCCGCTCCTAAGTGCGCGGGGACGCAGCTGAACGTGAGCTTGTGCCCTTCTGTTCCTGCCTGACACCACCGTCGGCCGGATTGGAAGATGGGACAGAGTGCAACGACCTGCCAACATGGTCTTTAACTTTCTTACTTCAACTCTGGCTCGTTTTGAGTGGCTCTCGTGCTGCCAGGGGCCGGAAGTGGCGTTGCAAAGGTTCTGCGTGTCAAGCAAAAGATGCGAAAGATGCCGGTTCAGAAGCTTCGTCTGTGGCAAAATCATCCCTTGCCACCCATTCCGTAACTTCTCCGCAACTTCTCCGACGCTTGCCCCGGATCATGGTACAAGACGGTTTGTCCATGACTTATCGGCGTGCTTGTTCCAAGACTGAAGTTGCGAACACTGCGCCTGTCGCTCAATGGGCCAGTGGCCTGGTCTCTTACGTCGCCCGTCGCACCTGGATCGGCAGGTGCCGCAGCATTGCTGCGAGCCTTGAAAGACTAGCCCGTTGCATCTTTTTGCCTAATCAGGCGTGAACCAACCTGTCCTCAGCGGGAGCTATCTGTAGCAGCTAGAACAGCTTTCTTTGGTGAAGGGATGCTTCTACCCTGCGTTGCCACAGTTCAGGCCACCATCAACAATGAATGCGGGAATCCATGCATGGCTTAGAGGATCCAGAAGCTCCGCTGCACGATGCGTCCTTCAGACCTTGGGTTCCGAGCTTGAAACCTTTCAGGTGATGGGCCAATGCTCATGACGAAGAGCTGCCCAGTGGAGTCCCGGACTAAGGCTTAGCAGACACTCTGCGAGGTTCTGCATCGACGCTTGCCAGGTGCACTCAACCGAAGCATTGCGCATTCTCTGCATGGACCGAGTGGCTCGGGCCCGTTCACATCGTTGAGCTCCGATTGCGAGGAAAATTTTGGGCCTAAAGGGCCGAAGATCGTTGCGTCCTACGCCCCTAAGCCCTGTCGATCTTTCGTTTTTGGCCCGAGGCTGTAGGCTCAACGCCCTTTCGATTTTGAATCAGCTTCGACGATCGATTGTGGGCCCAACACCCTGCACACAAGAGAGAGAAGTTAGGCTCACTGTTGCTCCGGGTAGGGGAGCTAGCGAACCTGCCAGGTTTGCGACACAACGACACATGTCGTCTGTCCAGGTTGCGGTGAGTGGAGATCACCTGCTAGAGCCGGCGCCTCATCGTACGGCCAGCTGTCGAGCAGCACGTCCACTCGAGGGGAAGTGACTCTCCTTCAGAAGGTAGAGCATTTGGTTGTTCCTGTCAATGTGCATTTCCTTCAAGCGTGTGAAGGCATACTGGTGGTTGTCGTTATAAAGGTGTGGCATGAGTTCCGTGGATATGCAGGGAAGTTGGAGGCCGGACCCGAGGCCCCCTTCTCTGAGAAACTCATCAGCCGCCGCCTTCCAGCGGTTTTGCGCCCGAGAGTGCCCTAGCCGGAACCAAGCGCGCGTGCCATCCGGCGGATTCTGTGTGCGGCCCTCCGTCGGAAAGTAGAAGAATTTCTTTTTCAGCGGCCCACGAATCCAGTAGACGACTACTGCGCGAGATTCCAGCCGCTAGAGATGGCCACGGCGCGAGACGCCACAGGGCACTGTGGAGCAAACCGGCAGCCTGGATCGCCAGCGACAGCTGAGCTCGTAACCCCAGCGGAACGTCTGCAAGCGGGAAAAGCAGTCAAAGGTGCCGCGATAGGAGCTAGGATACGTGAACATGCGCGGTTCGAACT